ACTTCGTAAAAAACAAAATAAAAAATAAATAAAGATAATAACACACAAGACAAAAATAGAACATTTTGTACACTGAAATGTAAACATTTTCCACATGGACCATATTGTGAATGTGTGTGTGTGTGTGTGTGACGCCTTGGGATGAGAATGTGTTGAACAAGTTTGTTTATATAATATATGTGTGTGTATATGTAAATGTATATGTATATACACGCACACATATCATATAAACACTAACTTTTATGTTAGGTGCGATTAATCCCGATTAATCGATTTGACAACACTAGTTTATTTACGTCCGACGAACTGGTCAGTGGAGGAGACTGATTATTTACTGAATATTTGCTTAAAAAAAGCTCTTCAACATGACATTGTCAGCTTTCCTTTTAGGTATTTTGTTAATTATGCTAATGATTTTCTCCGGTTCTGAATGCGGCGACTAAGTACAAAATATGGCCGTGCGTTTAGTTTAAAATACATAAATGCACATGTAAGTGAATGTGCGAATGGATTGCAAAGTTCATAGAAACAAAACTTTCTGAATCTGAAATCTGATTAGATTCATTTGAATTGACGAAAATCAGTGTATGCAGAATGTATGGACAAAAAAAGTAATCCCCTCCCCCCAAAAAATTTCTTCTTTTGGGTTCCACAGAAGAAAGAAAGTCATACATGTTTGGAACGACATGAGGGGGAGTAAGTGATGACAGCATTTTCATGTTTATCTCTTTATTGTGACAACATTGTGTTATTTTGTATGTGTGTGCGTGCATGTGTGTGTGTTTTTAAGGAGGTATGGAGAAGAACAAAAGGTGTGTGAAAGTAAAAGCTCAGAGAGGGTCCATATAAATGTTGCCATGAAGTTTTGAAAAGAAGAAATGGGAACAATGCGGTTTGCAGCAAACACTCCTCTGCCATCCATCTTTTACACAATCAACATGGCCCTTTCACATGCACTGGCCCCTGCTGGGGACCCCATCCCCTCTGTCAATGGCCTTATATTTAAGGGAAATTAGGTGACATTGAGTTTCAAATGAGTCATCGACAGCTGCTTCGTCACTGTCGGCATGAGTGTTGTCCAGCAGTGGCGTGACATTGTGTTCCTGTCCCACAGAAAGAGCAGGAAGGGACGGTACTGTACTGGAAAGATTCGGACCGTAACAGTCCACGATCGGTTTTTCCACATAAACATGCATTGAGTGAAATGTGTCGCGGCTGCAAAATGTGTCAATTGTTTTCTTCGCTCTCCCCGAGCGCTCATTGATGCCTTATACAGTTACAGGCCACCACAATCATTTTACTGTTGGAAGGTGCAGAGAAATCCACTGTCCTCCCAAAAGGTATTTGAGACCCGCAGCTAAGAATCAAAGGGCTGCAGAGGTATAAGGAAGACCTATCTGGTTTCAAGATGAAGTGTGGGAGAGGAATAGAGAGAGTGTGAGAGAGAAATTAAAACGGAGAGAGAGCGAAACGAGAGCGAGAGAGAGAGAGAGAGAGAGAGAGAGAGAGAGAGAGAGAGAGAGAGAGAGAGAGAGAGAGAGAGAGAGAGAGAGAGAGAGAGAGAGAGAGAGAGAGAGAGAGAGAAGAGCTGCTGGCGAATCACTTTGAGAGCCGTCATTGAGATTTATGAAAAGTGTGTGTCATGAGGTAGATGATCTGTCCCTTGGGGATTGGAATCAGTATTAAGGGTGTTGCATTAAAATCAGTTCAAAGCAAATAAAAGTGTCCTTTGGCATGCATGTTCGACCCGGACGGATCAACTGGGCGAGTCTACAGCACCGAAATCAATCCAACACTTCTGACATCTATGAAATGGAAAAGGTGCAATGAGGCGGTACGGCCAGCATTTATGAACGCCGTTAAAATCATCCCGTAAATCTCTCTCTCCATCGTTCCGCTGAAAAGCCGATGGCCTCGGACATGATGTGAGGCTCTGTTGAGGGCTCTCTGGCAAAAGAATAAGACAAACTCGCATCAATGAGCGGAACGCTACACAAACGCTCCAAAACATACTCATGAAAATGCTTTGTATAATAGGGTATTTAAAGAGGTTAACCTTTTTTCCCAAACCAACCTGGGGTAATGAGGTATGAGAATAAAGTGCTTGCCAATTTGTTTGCAGTGCGTTGGGACTGTACGGGAGTTCTTTCTGAGCCCCTGACAAGCAGGTGAGATCAAAGTGAACCCGGACAAAAGGGGCTCAACGGTGATTTGTCAGGGGACGAGAGGCATTCCCGTCTGGCTCTAGCCAAGGCCCTCAGATCACTAGCGCAAAAAAAAAAAAAAAAAATGGCATGAGAAAAAGTACAGCAGAAAAGGTTCAGAGGTCAGCTTGATTTGGTCTGGATTATGGAACCTCCTTTTCTGCAAAGGAGCCAAAAAAAAAAAAAAGATAATTTGTGACTATTAAACTTGACTAAAAAATCTTGTTCACTTGGTTCTTTGAACCACCAAAATCTTCTTTTTTCCAAAACTTTTAACTGAATAGGTTTGCAGTATGAATCTTTTTATACATTACATACATATTTCTTCATGTGCTTTTTAAAACACCAGTAAACAAGTTATTTTCATGATGTGTTATCACATTTTTTCTTTTGTCAAATCAACTTGGATCATTTTTGTGGTTTCGATAACATCATATTTTGAGTTTCTGTTGATTAAACTAATCTCCTTCATTGTATTAACTCAATTTTTTAAGTTTAACTTAAGGTTACTTCCTTTTTAAGTTAACAAGAGTAAACAAGTCAAACTAGAGTAAATACATCAAACTAACAATAGTTTACAATCAGGTCAGTATATTTTTGCAAATAAAAAAGTAAGCTATAACTAATTGTAAAAATCTGAAAGGGGATAAAGAGAAAATTCTAATATTTTATTACAGATATCAATATGGCGACTGGTGGCTTTTGTAGTTTTGTGCTATATGCATCTCAAACATTTATGTATATATTCCAATGTCTGTCTGCTACAAACTTATGCCATAAATGAATGTTGAGTAAAGAGTGCTGGTGGCCTGTAGAACTCATAGAAAACACAGATATTTTAAATGTCATTTATAGATTTACTGTGGCTACATATTCAAAACAATTATTATCGCCACACACCCTCGTTTCATTTGAAACATTTAAACTCAATATTTCAAATACATAAATTCAACAAAAAAAGTCATAAAAATGTGCAAACCTGACATTTCAACATACAGCGTGTGTTGCGTGTGTTGGTCATTCTAATAATTAATTTTTTTACAGTTTTGCTAATACACTGACTGTCTTTGCTTTGAAGAGTGTTACAGTCCTCCCACCTGCTCGGCCACATATTTTTAATTTTCGTAAATTAAGATGATAAGCTTATGTAACCACATGTTATATCATTATATATCAAATTAAACAAGAGAACCTGCTTATTCAGATGACAGCATTCTGTCATTTAAAATCTATTCCTAGACCCACAAATCCAATTATAATCTATCATGATAGTGATTTCAACCCTTTAGCTCATTTCATGGTTAACCTGTTGGCGTTATGACGTATCCAATTTTCCATCTTGTTTAATTTAAAAAGCAAAGGGTTGCGAAGAAGATATTGCATTATACTGAGTAATACTGTTAGGGTTATGATTGGGGTTTGGTTTAGGGTTAGTTGCATGTAATTACTATGCATCATTTTTTAGTTATTAGGCCTACTAACTACATGTAACATGTGTAACAAGGACATAGTAAAATAAAGTGTTACCGAAAATACTTTAACATGGTACGGTTTAACCGTTCAGGCAACATCCTGAGTGAACACCCCCCCCCCCCCTCTCTCTCTCTCTCTCTCTCTCTCTCTCTCTCTCTCTCTCTCTCTCTCTCATACTGATTATTACTGCTGGGCTTTGTGGGCGGCTGTGGGCCGTAATTAAAATACTTCCAGAAAGAAACAGCCGACCACATCAGAAATGCAACCCACTGTCAGGATCAAACCACATCAAGCGCGTCTCTCTCAGAGATGGTCACCAGAGCATCAGTAAAGGCGCATATCTACTCTCCGTCTAGTCTTGACACACACACACACACACACACACACACACACGCCGGGTCTGGTCCGACTGCAGCGCGACTAATAAGTTATTACGAGCAGTTATAGCCTGTATGACAAACAGTCAGGGTATGGAAAGCGAAGACAAATGAAGGCTGCCTTCCCACGAGGTCCTCAATAGCATGCGCTGGTGTTGCGCCAAAGGGCAGGGAGATTTGTAGATGATGGTGCTAATTACGAGAATGGCAACCATAATGCGACCAAGATGGAAGCAATTTAGGCAGAAGTCATTTGCGTGTTACTCTTCCACCCACTATAGCAGCAGCACACACAGCTTTGAGTCGCACTTGCAGTCTGGTTCATTCCTGAGAGAAGATGCATGTTTTCATTTCCACGGCCTGCTAGATTGATTAAGACTATGGGAAAAATTATGCCTAGTTGGAATATGGAATATGCCTAGTTGTTTTTTTTCTTTCAAAATCAGGACACAAACTTCGCGAAGCGGCACTTGGATTTATGCATTTCAAATAGCAGGGAAATAATAGATGCGCTTCTGGGTTGCAGTGAATGGAAAAACACGTCTTGATCGTTTTATTCAGAGCATCACTACCTGCTGTATAGCCTATAAAATATTTTGAATTAATGGCTAGCATACTTCGGAGCGATAGTGGGTTGTTTGAAGAAGAAAGCATCACATAGCCATATTAAAGCTGTTATATGCGTAAAAATAGGGGTTGGACGTTTCTGAATCATGATTTCGTTCATATTTAACAGGATAAAAATGCTGGGAATTATTTTGCACCTATTACGCAAATAACCCGCTTAAAATCTGTCTATTAATAAATGCATAACCCGTGAACTTTTGTTCTATGGAAGTGACTTTTACTGATTTATCAAGCCAACTGTCGAGACCATTGTGTGTCGTCACTCACTGTTTTATACTAGAAGCATTCCATACATAAATGTGGATCGTTGAAAGCCTCGTGCGTATGTCTATGAATGTTAACATCACTGTCGAAATGTGCCAACAAGCATGAAAAGAGAATTAATAGTGGCTCACCCAGCCAGAGGCCAGTGTTAATGCTTAAATATAATTTTCGGGTCTTTGAAAAGAAGCGAACTGTGCGCTTGGATGTCTCTCTCTCTTTGTGATGCGGTTTTCCTCTGTAAGCCACCGTGTGCAGTGCTGTGTAATTTTATCCACGCTGCAACCTCTTGGTTCACACAAGACTGATACCTTGCCTCCCCTTTTTCTTTGTATCAATTGGTCGGGGTTCGGGCTATTGTTGCAGGAGGGCTCTTTTATTTCTGCGCACACTGTCGATCAGCGAAATCTCACGACAGGCTCGACAGGCTGTTTTCTCCTCCTCGGTCAGATACAGTGTGTTTGGAGAGCAGAGTGGAACCCATGAGCACCAATGCTGTCGCCACCAAGCCGGATGACCGCGACACATTATTAAAGAAGGATACAGCAAGTTTTCTTTTAAAATGTTGGATCACTGACATATGAAACTTCTTTGATGGGACCCCGTGTGCCAGCTCTTTCCATTCCAGCGAGGTTTTGCCGACATCCCGCCATGCCACAATGGTTATAATTCTGCTCTTGTTGTTACTGAGCTCCTTGGATTCGAGTTTGCAGGGATCTCTGGCTCCGAGGCTGAGCAGGAGCCCAAGGGCTCCTTGTGTCAGGGGCCAGGAGTGTGACCCGAGGACGCGGCGCGATGCTGGAGGACGCGGCGGGGTTTACGAGCACCTCGGCGGAGCTCCAAGACGCAGGAAACTTTACTGCGCCACGAAATATCATTTGCAAATACACCCGAACGGAAAAATAGACGGATCTCTTGACGAAAACAACCCTCTCAGTGAGTAAACTCTTCTCACGCTTCTCATGTCAATTTAATATATGATCAGAGACTTGCGTAATTGCGCGAATACACATTGTGCGCTGACAATATTAATGGGATATTAATTAACATCGAAAAATTAATTCTACCTGTCCGTCATTAAGGAGCAGAGAACATTTTAATCAGCATTCTTATCACTGTAAAGGGAGATTAAAGCAACTATTAGAGCTCTTTTGGGGATTGAACTAAACTAAACTAAACTAAACTAAACTAAACGTAAAGTCAAAAATTAGGTCTAGGTCGCTGTGTCCCATTATTTTGTGACACCAGACACTCCAGCTTACATCGTAATATCAATTCGCTGTCAGGGAGTAGAATATTTGTAGCTACATTTGCTATCTTATAAATTATAATCTTAAATTATATTTCTTTAAATTGCAGCATTCGTTTATCTGTAGTTTTCCAATTAGTCGAATCCGAGTGCTCATGGACAATTACCATATGAAAACAGGACTCAACAGACAGTTTAACATAATGACTTAGACAACGGATGTGTTTATCCAACGTAAAAGGATGATTATTCCAAACAGAAGAATGAGGAGAGCCATTAATCAGTGAAAAAAAAAGGATGAATAAACATCCTCTTTAAGAGGCGTTTAGTGTCTGTATGTCTAACCTGACAGCGTGGTGTGTAGACCGTGACTCAATAAACGAAAAAATACTATATAAATATATAGGCTTTGTAAAACAAGATACATTTAAAACAGCTAAATGAATCCTACATTTACAATTAACCTTTTGGAAACAAATACATTTCCATAATTATTGAATATTTAATGTGTTTCAGGCTACATGTTTAGCTTTAATCATAAGCTATATTAATAATAAGTTCAAATCAATTTAGTGATATAAATCAATTACTGATATTTATAGCAAATCAATTTATATTATAGTAAACAAACTTAATTTATGTATAGGTTACATAACATTTGCAACTGTTACGGTTTTCAATATCATTGAATAATAATAACACTACGAAAACTGCGATTTCAAACATTAAATCATGACATGCTTGTGAAAACAGACTCGGCTGACCTTGTATTGAATCCTACAGTTAATTGTGCAATTTTGAAATTCTATTATAGGTGTTTTTCACATTTCTAGCATGCGCACTAACGAGTGCCCCACTCTTCTCCCTAGGCATACTCGAGATCACAGCTGTCGATGTCGGTGTGGTGGCGATCAAGGGCCTGTTTTCGGGAAGATACCTGGCTATGAATGAGAAAGGCCGTCTGTATGCTTCGGTAAGTGTTATGTCACGTCGGAAAATCAAGTATCTGAAATTCGGCTAGCAGTGGGATCAGATAACAAGCAGGGCTATTTGAGGCTCTCGCCACATGGTGGTGTTTTTCATGCGGAACCACATGCTGCTACATCACTGAGAGTTTGATTACTGAGTTTTGTTTGCCTCACTGGGGACCTTGTCACTGAAAGTTCTGGTCAGCAGAGAGTGATAACCACATGGTTCTTACTCTTAAAAATAAAGGTTCTTTATTGGTTTTGATGGTTCCATAAAGAACCCTTTAACATCCATGGAACTGTTCCACTCCACAAAAGGTTCTTTATAGTGGAAAATGGTTCTTTAGATTATTAAAATGTTCTTCACACTAAGAAAAATTGGTTATTTTAAGTACGGTTCACTGAAAAGTTGACCCCAAAATGGTTCTTCTATGTATGACATCACTGTGAAAACCCCATTTTGGAACCTTTATTAGGTTATGCAGAGGTGTTGAAAATCACTGTAAACAATTATATGATCAGTAAGTTATGACATCATTTGCTTTTACATTGCTTTAACTTTTAAGTCAGTTTAATGTAATTTAAGTTGAAATGACTTAAACACCCAAGTTGATTGTACTTAAAAAATTTAACGCAGCAACTTTTTTTTTCTTCCCAGTGAATGTGCAGAGTTTTGACCAGTTTAAATGTTGATTTTTCTACATAAAGGAGATGACTTCTTTATGGCCACACAGTCAAGATGAGAAACATTAAAAAAAGGCTAATAACATTTTTTTTAACCCTTTCAGGAACTCTTCAACAGAGAGTGTGAGTTCCTGGAGCGCATTCACGAGCTCGGATACAACACCTATGCGTCACGGCACCACTCCACAACCCAGCCTCCCCCAGCAGGGTCCGGTGCCGGGGCCGGCAAGCGCCGTGCCAGCTCTAAAAGGCAGTGGTACGTGTCCATCAATGGAAAGGGCCGGCCCAGGAGGGGCTTTAAGACACGGAGCACGGACAAAGCTTCCCTCTTTCTGCCCCGTGTTCTGGGCAACAAGGACCACGAGATGGTGCGCAAGCTCAGAGAGAGCCAGCGGCACCAGACGGGCTCTCACCGGGCCCCTGTCGGTCGGGCAGAGCGCAGGAGACGACGACACAGGGGCTCCAAGGGCCACAGCAGAAGGCCTGACATTTAACACTCTCTCGACACAGATGGAGAGGAAATCCGCCGAGAGTCACATGGAACAATTTTCTCACCAGAGGATGATTTTCAAGAAAACTTTCGAGGAATTATGAGAGTGACATTTAAAGCCCAGTATCTGAATTATAAAGATGTTCATGTGACCAAAATTAACACTACTGAAAGTTTTGCTTTTTTATGACATGCACCACGTCATGTTCTCAAGTCTTTTCGGTAAAAGACGTGTAATTATTGTACATAGATGTACAGTCATTTACTTTTTTTATTTGAGCAAGATAACATAGAGTAAATGTTTGTAATGGTAAATTAGGACGTTGTACAAGTGCTTGACAATGCCGATGACGTGTTATGTATGGTGGTGTACAGACAAGCACTTTTTTCTTACTGAAGTAGAAAACAAAGTTCCATACACGTAAAAACAGATGCTTTTTAACTTACATGTGATAGGCTACTGTTCTTAAACTGCAATCAGGAGTACTTTGTATATTACTAATGTAATACATATTTATTTTTGTTTATATGTTTTTAAGTTATTGATGACATAGTTTCTTCCAAATATCAAAGAGATTAGTCGTAAGAATAACACTGTTGTCTTTGAACAATCCCTCTCCAGTTTCCTATTACTTCATTCAAATATGAGTCTACATATATGTAATGGCATCAGCTCTGATTAATGTCACGTATTGAACACTGTAAGCAGAGTATAATGCATTACAACTGCATTGTTCGACACTGAAAGCTAAACATCTGGAGTAATGTCACCAATAAATTATATGGAATATATATCTTTGGTTTTATTGCTAAGCATGCACGGTATGGTTTCGCTCGCACTTTATGCTATTCTCTGTTTCTAGAATACGATATGGAGCTTAATTAATGCTAAATGAATGTCGGTAAAGAAGGCAATGCATATTCCGCGCAACTGATAGTGATCGGGGATGTATTGAAGACAAGTCTCTTCCGCGCTCCAGCAAAAAAAAAAAAAAAAAAAAAAAAACGACTCTCTCTTGGGACCATCCGGCCATTTTTCCTAAAGTGACATCATCTAAAAAAAAAAAAAAAAAAAAAAAAAAAATTCAGAAAAGCAATACAGGACCACTCCCACTACAGGATTCATTTAAAATGCAACTTTTTTATTCGTATTTGAATGCATCCGTACTGTGTTTCGCGTGAAGATCGGCTTCTTCAAGCAGGAACAGAGAACTGTGCTTTTGAAATCTATAGGAGAGGGAAAAAAAGACGTGTTATTCTATACTTCGCAGGTTCGAGAGCTTCCTGGCGGTCACAATGGCACATCTCTGGGGAAACCTGGGAAGCTGTGTCGCTCGAGACATTCTTCTTCCCTGTTCTAAACGACGAGAGCCTGAGATCTGAGGAACAAGGCAATCGCCGATGAACAAAATATGTTTCTGAGAAAGTGTATAGTTTGTTATGAATGCCAAACTCTAATATTACTCAACAGGAATGCTGGACTGTTTGAATGAACCTTTGTGTCGCCCTCCTGATACCTTATTTTTCACAAACCCATTCATATACATAAATGCATGAGAGGCGAGATCAAAGCTTTCCGCGACGTCAAATATTATATTCTATGATCGCTTCTATTAATCAGAAACTGCAGGAGAGCTGTCTTTCATGACCTGGCCATGGAAAATAAAATAACAAATAATACAAATAATATCTCCAGGGGTTTGCTCTAACACATGATTTGGTTGGTTTCGCAGAAATGCCATTAAAGAACCATTTTTGGTTCACCAAAAACCTTTGGAACCGTTCTTAAAATGACCGTTTTTTCTTATAGTGTGATGTACGTTTTAATAATTTGAAGAACCTTTCACTATAAAGAAACTTTTGTGGAACGGAAACTTAGATGTTTAAGGTTCTCAATGGAACCTTCGAAAGGAACTTTATTTTTAAGAGTATAAAGGTTTAGTTCCAAAAAGGGTTAACAGTGTGATGAACAACTTTTTACATTCATTTTAAGCAATCCATTTGCTGCTGGTGCATCACTGATCTGAGGAACATACTGAAACATCTAGATCTGGATCTCTGAAGAACCATACAGCCAACTCAAGAACCTTAAACAAGTTTCAGATGAAAAGAGTATCGTTTGCTGAAATGAAGGCAAGACACCCCTGAATAGTGTAAAAAAAGATACTTCCTCAGTTGATTGATAAGAATTGTACAAAAAATAAAATAAAATTGTAGGCTATTATAAGTTTTGGGAAATGTTATTTTGAAATATGCAAATGAGACACTGTCTAATTAAATATGCACTCATTTGCATAAATATCTAGAACAAAAATCTGAACATTGGATGAAGTCAGGTTCAAAGTTCTTATTTAATTTTTTTTGCACATATTAGAGTCAAAAGTTACAGAGGGGATTTTGGATTTCTCTTTTTGTCACTCCATAAATCAGAAAATACTAGGCACAAAAATACATTTTCATCAATTTTTTGTAATGACATGATGACATGTATAAAATCAAATAAATATAATATTTGATTTTACAAATAAATATAAAATTTGGAGATTTCTGGCTCAGTGCAGGAGAAAAAAAAAACTAATTTTGAGAATTTTTAAAAAAAAGAGAATATATATATATATATATATATATATATATTCTCTTTTTTTTTAAAATTCTCAAAATTAGTTTTTTTTAATATAGGCCTATATATAGGCTATATATATATATGGGGCTCATTCTGTCCCATATGTTGACCTGTGCAAAGTTTTTCATGCTCTTTGGTCCCAGTTCTAACCTATTCAGGCACACGACGCCCCTATTAGTTCAGTGGCATATAACAAGTAAACAGAGACGCAGGGGTTAAAGTTCAGCGTCCCGATCGAGCGACTTCTGATGACCTGCCTTCAACAATGACGTGTCTGCCGCCATGTCGAGGGCATATAGGAGCGCTCATTATTAACCTATAGATGCCCGAAATCTCCTCGAGCCAAGGCCATAATAATATGACGCAGCATCAGGGTGAGATTATATCTCGAGTATCTCATTTCGAATGTGAAAATAAATCAATATTTATTGATTTATTTTCCAAACCAATTCCGATGGTTTTTTAAACCTAATGATAATGAAATTATCCAGCGAGTGCTTTCTCAGAAATTACTTTAAGCCGTGCTCTATAGTGAAAACTGCTCCAATTAAAATCAGTGCGCTTCAGTCTCATTCTTCTCTGGCCCGAGGGCCTCAAAGGGTTGCTCCTCGTGCCCATCTAATTGGTATCGTCAGGAATTCCTCAAGTATTGACCCAGCGGAGCCTGAGGGGTCTTTGTTCGTACAGACAGGCCTCCTACTGGCCATCTCCGTGGGGCTTGTAGAGTTGATGACCTCTGCACTAACATCACACCATATTGCTTCCAGCTTAACTATTTTTTAAGTGATACATTTATTAATGCTGATAGTTACCATATATGGAGATTAAACGAAATAACTGGATTTAGAGTTAAGATGTAAAATTCATTCTTAAAAATAAAGGTTCTTTATTGGCATTGATGGTTCCATGAAGAACCTGTAACACTCATGGATCATTTCCATTCCACAAAAGGTTCTTTATTTTTAGAATGTTTTTCACACTAAGGAAAAAATGGTTCGTTGGTGAACCGGAAATGGTTCTTCTATGGCATTGATGCAAAACCCCCATCTGGAACCTTTATTTTTAACAGTGTAAGCTTTTTTTCTGGGATATTACATATAGGCTGCATATGAGACAAAGAACGAAAGAAGGCTTTGTGAAAATTACTTAATTTGTAAATTGTTATTTGGTGACTATTTTGTAGTTTACTTTTCTGTAAATTGTTATTTTACATATGTATATATATATTTCGTTTATTGGATGATTGGATAAATTAGTTGATTATTCAGGTCAGGTGTGATGGATCATGCTGATATAAATAGTACCTCTCCGTGTACTTGTTGTTTGTATATAAAAAAAAATATATATATATTTTTTTTTGAGAGCAACATTAGCAGTGTGCCAATTTTGGTTTATTTTTAGTGATTAGTCTCACTAACACGATGTCAGAAAGTTCCCAGTTCGCATTTCTCTGTACTCCCAAAAGCGTCCTATAGAGGGAAGCACTGACTCCTGTCCAGCTGCTGTGAAATCACAGGATCTGATCATAAGGTCTTAATATCAGTGTTGTCTTCGCAATAAATCTAGAATCTGAAGGCCGGGTTGTCGCCTCTGTATTTTGATATCAATGAGATTTTTTAGGTGCACGGCAAATGTAACATTCTGTTCGAGGTTGTTCTCTGTAGTACTTTTACTGTTTTACTGTGAGAACTGCAGAGTTAAAGGAATAGTGTTTGATTTATTAAATGCATAAGCATTGCAACTAATTCATCTAGAAATAGAATAAGTGAGTTGCCCACGGCCTTTCATTACATATTTCATGTCACTATTATAACAAAAATGCCTGAAACCGATATCTTTCTTTAAGGCGAACATTTTTAATCGTTGGATCGAACATAATTGGGCTGATATGCACTGCAAACCCATTGGGTAGGATTAGACGCGTGAATACGTGCGTATTACACGCCATAAAGTGCGTATCATATGCACGTAAAAACATTTTTTTTTGCGTATAAATTGCACGATAAATACAATTCGTGATATAGATGCGCACTTTCATGAGCTCGGGCGGCAACTGCGCGTTTGAGCGCGCCTGCAGCACCATGGAGAGCGGCGGCGCGCATGTTATTATAACATTCACTTCATTTCTCTGTGTGCACCATGTGTTAGTTGCTAGTTCGGTCTTCCACAACCACTAAAAGCTTTCATTATCGGTCAATTATCACAAGCATGTGGCTCTAAATATAACCTCCGATAAAGAGTTTTTGTCATGATAATTCAGCAGTGGCTAAAGCATTACGCGACTTTTCGATTTGAGCATCCAAATGGGTCAAAAAACAACAGTCTGTTTGATCAGTGTCTGTGTCCCCAACATGTAGCCTATATAAAACCAGCCACACATTCATAGATCAAATGAACCGAGCCATTCCTGTGTGCTGAAGACCCCCATCAGCAAGCAACATCTAGTGAAGCGTCAGAACCTGGATGGGTGGGATCGCGGTTTAGCTATTTGGGCAACAGGCTCAGTGTCTAGGGGTATTCAACTCTCCTTTTTGAAGTTAAGAGATGAGAGTGTTCTGTCTGGAGGAAACGTCGTCATGCGAAACAAAGGCGGGGCAAGCAAGAGTTATGGCAAGGGAACTTTTTGTTTGTTTGGCATAATGATTTATATAAACAAATCAACAACAGAGAAGACTAGTCAATCACATCCCTATGTAACTAATGAAGTTTTGGACATTTTACCACTCCCTCAAAATCCAAAGACAAATGGCCACTTTTTGCATCAAAGTTATTTTCTTTTATTGTAGTTCGTTCCTATTGTTACCG